AAGAATGTGCCGGCGACTTGCCCTGCTGCTCACAAGCGCGTACCGTGCGTACATGAGGCGTTCTGCCGCGTTGCGGGAGGCAAAGGCGCGCTGGCGCAAGGAACAGCATGTATTGCTTTGTCAGCGAACTGCGGCGTTGTACGAGGAGTGTAGGGAGGAAAAGCGGCAACTTTACCGCGAGGCGCTTCAGTCAGAGCAAACAATGCATTTGGAGCTAAGGAAACAGTTTGAACTCTGCAAAGCACATGAGGCGCAGCTTGTGTTCGAATGCCAGAAACTTTTTGATGTTGTGCTGCTGGCACGAAGGGCTATGCTGCAGGAAGCCACGGTGCACCTCGAGAAGCTTAAGCGTATGCTCCGACAGGAAGGGGTTTTGTTTTTCACAATACTTCAGGAGGACATGGGTGACGTGGAGTTTGGGCAGCGCTGCCGAATTCGAAGTATGGAGAGTTGGGAACGTAACAGGCTCTGGCAGGCCTTTCGGCTACGGCATGTGATGCAGCAGCTAGTGGTGCTCGAAGTTGAGGCGATGGCGTTGCACCGGTATATTGCTGCGATGGAATCCATTCAACGCAATGAGCTAAAGGCGCGTCGAACGTTGGAGCAACGGAATCGCTCCTACTGGAACTCTTTCAGGCGACAATTCCGTGAGGTGGAGGCCTCGGTGGTGCAGATGTCGTGGAGCCTGGAGGAGCGTGAGCGGGCGCGGGGGAAGCAAGTAATGCTGCTGCAGGAGCTGCAGGGTCGCCTGCAGGCAGTAAACATGAGCCCCATGTTTTTTTCTACGATGACTCACGATGCCGGGTCACTCCCGCAGCATCATCCACGCACACCGTCACGTAGTGCCACGCAGTGTGTAACGACGGCGCACTTTTTGCCGCTGCTACGGGACTCATACTCGCAGGCGGCGATGCCTTTTCCTGCCTCACCTCAGTCAGGGTCCGTTGCGACAAGTCAGTCTCTGCAGTTTTCGGCGGAGGGACCACACCACAGTGTGCAGGCCCCGTCACATGGCCCTTCCCTTGCGATATACGATTCTCCCTCTCCTGTGTCAGCCGTCTCTTTTTATGGCAAATTTAGGGGGATAGACGCCTGCGAGGAAGGAGGAACATCTTCTCCGGCGTGGAATAGGACAGTGCACAGGTCGATGTCGTGGTTCGCCGCGGCCGCTGCACACGTCTCGCCCCGCTGTCAATATTCCCCGCGGCGCTCGACACCGCTTGCGCCGTGTGACTTCTTCAGTGATGCGACGCCGGAAAAAGGTCACCTTTCAGCTGCCAGGGCGAGTTCATACGGACCGACTCAAGAGGTCATGCCATCGCGGCCGCGGTACAAACGCTCTAGGCGCTGGGCATGACAGCTCCATCCTTTTTAAAAAAAGTCCAAAGCATCTCTATGGAAAACGCGGGGACATCTGTTTTTTTTTTACTTGCAGGGCACACAGCTGGGGAGCTAGCGGGTGAGTGAGTGAGAAGCAACAGAGGAAGAAGAAAAATATAAAAGGAAGCGAGTCAGAGTACAAAAGAGTACAAAAAAAATGTGCTTTTGTGGTAAGCTGAAGCTTGAGAGACAATGGCGCCTCATACACACTCTGCACGACTGGTGTTATAGCTGGCTGCGAGGGTGAGTTCCATTGCTCCGCCAGCACTGACCCTTACGGGTTGCTTTATCGTTGTATGCAAGCACGGTTCAACTTGCAGCGTTGATTTCTATTTTGGTTTTAGTTTTGTTGTTGTTATTTGCCTTTCTTTTTTTGTTGAATCCACTGTTGCTGACTGCAGCAGTGTGTTGGGTTGATGTAAACTCGAGAATCTTGCTTCCCAGCACTCATACGAGTCCTGCACGGAGGAAGAGAAGTAACCGCTCACTTTTGCTGGAGGTTTGTGTTGTTCCTGCACTGCTTTTTTTTTTCGGTATTTGTTTTTTTTTTGCTATTTTTTGCCCCATCTCCCTGCACGCACACACATACGCACACGGAGGACACGACCTTTTCTAAATACCGCTCTGAGACTCGCCTCTCACCAAATTCATGGCAAGTGCTGCAAAAAAGTGCATAGGGGCAGCCACAGCGGCGGTGGCGGGCCTCATTGGTTTCAGTTACACCAACCCCAGTTGGACTCAGCGGAAGTTTGACACCAGCAAGACACCTCCCCTTTTATTTCTGGAGAATCCCTCCCGTGAAGAGTGCCTGACTCGTTTCCAGGCATTCGCTTCCCCTGAAACGCCTATGGATGTACTTGTTGTGGGCGGTGGATCTGTCGGTGCGGGTTCGGCGCTGGATGCGGTGACTCGTGGACTGAGTGTGGGCCTTGTTGAGATGAACGATTACGCGAGCGGAACGAGCAGTCGGAGCACCAAACTTATACATGGTGGCATTCGCTACCTTGAAAAGGCCGTCTTTCACCTCGACGTGCAACAACTGAAGTTGGTGGCGGAGGCACTGCAGGAGCGCGCCATCATGATTCATCAGGCACCCCATTTATGTCACGACATTCCCACCATTGTTCCTTGCTATGACCCAATTGGCCTCATCAAGTTTTGGTGTGGAGCGAAGCTGTACGATTTGATCGCCATGTGGGAACGCGGTACCCTCAAATACTCCGGATTTCTTACCCCCTACGAGACAATGAAACGGTTTCCCAAACTTCTCCACGCCAACAAGGATGGAGAGTTGTTGTATGGGTCCGTTCAGTATTACGATGGGCAGATGGATGACGCTCGTGTGTGCCTGTCTGTGGCACTTACAGCCGCCAGCCACGGAGCAGCCACGGTGAACTACGCAAAGGTGGAAAAAATGGAGCTTGTTCAGAACAGTTCCGGTGAACAGGTGGTGAAGACCCTTGTAACTGATCGCGTGAATCAACGCAAGTTTACGGTGTACAGCAAGACTGTCCTAAATGCAGGTGGACCGTTTAGTGAAGAGGTGCAAAAACTTGTAGCGAATAAAAACAAGATTCGCATCATGCCAAGCTCCGGAACGCACATTGTCATTGAGCCCAGATATTGTCCGAGGGAGGGGGGAATGGTTTTTCCCTCTAGTGATGGTCGTGTTGTGTTTGGCGTTTCCTGGTTAGGTGGCTGCTTAGTTGGGACCACAGACAACAGGTGCGAAGTCACGGAAGACGTTCGAGCACCAGAGGCAGATGTGCGTTTTCTCATTGACAGTGTGGAAGAATACGTTGGAAAAGTGCCGCGGGAGGCGGTGCTCTCCGCATGGTGCGGTATTCGTCCTCTTGCTGTGACAGAGGATGCATCGGGGGACAGCACCCAAAACATTGTGCGTGAGCACATGGTCTCCGTGGATAAGGAGCATCAAATGATTAGCGTTACCGGGGGAAAGTGGACGACGTATCGCAAAATTTCCCAGGACGCTGTGGATAAGCTGCGGGACACGCTGTTAAAAGACCGTGTTACGTTCCGGCAGTGTGTGACGGGAGAAATACAAGTGGTTGGCGCTCACAACTTGGCATCCGTCCCCGCAGCTGCGCCTAGCGACATTCCTGACGACGTGCATTCACACTGGAAGAGCCAGTACGGAGACCGGTACCACGTCCTACTTGAGATGGTGCGCCGCAACCCGGAAGCGTTAAAGCGACTGCACCCGGAAGAACCCATCGTGGAGGCGGAAGTTGTTTATGCGGCGCAACGGGAGCATTGTGAGCATGTGCAGGACTTTATTGCTCGCCGCACACGCCTGGCGTTTCTTAACGTGGAGCGCGCCAGGGAGATTATTCCCGGAGTCACGCGTGTGATGGCTGAAGCAAAGCGCTGGGGTCAGGCAAGAAAAAGCGAGGAACAGACGGATGCCTTTGCGTCCCTGCACTCCTTCCAGGCCAACTAGTGTAGCGAGGATAAACGTAGAAAAGCAGTAATATGTGTGGATCGGCACGTCTCTCGGACCGCTGCGTTGCGGGCGAGCACGAAGATGAAAAAGCTTGCGTTAATGCCTGCGCCCACGGACTCGTCGTTCCGCTTTCTCTTTCTCTCTCTTTCTCTTTCTCTTTCTCTTTCTTTCTTTCTCTCTCTTTATATATCTAATATTATGTGCCTTGATGCAAGCAAACGAAAAAGAACAAAAACGCGTGGTGGGTGGGATACAAGAACGTGTAATGTTGCCCATTGTTTGGGCCATCGCCTGCTCCCAGGCTACGTGCATAACAGATTGAAAGATGCATATTTATATTGATATTGATGTACGGCAACCATCATGGGATTCTAAGCGCGTATGTGCAGCGGGTGTGGAATGGAGAGTGTGCCATGATGATGGTGCACTAGACAGGCCCTCGGATGGGGGGTGGGGGATGGGGGTGAAATAGAAGGAGAAGGAGGATGATCATGGTGCGGCAGAACTACACAATATATATACATATATATTGTTGTTGTTGTTGCATGATTCATCTCTTTTTTTCCATTCGGAGGGTGTTTATAGTTCTGTTTCTTTCAGGCTTCTGACGGGATCGAATTTGTTAAGAATAAGGGGACAATTAGTGCGACGATGAAAAGAAAAAAAAATAGCCAAAAAGGAAAGAAAGTGTAATGGTGGTGGTGGTCTGGGTAGCTTTATGTGCTTACCTGCTGCGGTGTCGCATTTCTGCTTGTGCGTGTGTGCGTGTGGGTATCGACACCGCAGTCTGCAGGCTGGGCAAAGGTGAGCGGCATTAGATGTTTTGTTGCAGCAATGACAAAACGGGGGTGAGTGAGTGCATATTGCCTCCTCCGACATGACACCGTCTTCCATACGTATTGTGCCGCTTTTGTTTTTCTCTTTGCCGATGTTTACTTTTTTCCTCCTCTGCTTATTCGGTTGGCCTCTTTTGACCTCGCTGCCTTGACGGCTGCTCTTTTTTTTTGTTTGTTTTGTGGAAGATCTAAGCTGCCTGTGTATTCTGCTATTGCCAGGAGGGGGGAGGTTCGACACACGCAGGAATATGGCAACTGCGGAATAAATTGGACCGGACGGCGTAAAATACGGCAAGCCCATCTTCTTAGCAACAGACCATACCAACTGTGCCCCCAGCACGGAGCGTGAACTCTCTGATCAGGAGCTACTCGCATGGAGGCCCTTTCGGCTCTGGCGATCCACGCTGTCGGTAGAACGTCGCGACAACGTCTACCAGTCTCTTACCAACTCGGACTACACCAACTTCCGCCTAGCACACCACATTATGGGCACTCCCTTCCCTGTGGTGGGCACCATGCTGGGGTTCTTTGACGTTGTAAAGGCGGTGCGGTGGTACGAACACGCTATCTCCCTTACCGCGGCGTTCGCCTACAGCTACTCGATTCGCTCCAAGTCGGCCACACGGAATGCCCGCATGATGCCCATGTCACGCTTATCCATCACGCTATTGACCTTTTTTTTTGCACAGACCTTTCCTTCTGCTATTGAAGCATGTATCGCCTCACTGGGCACCTCCCAAACGACTACGGGTGCCGCAAGTACGGCGTCATGGAGGACAAGGAACAGCTGGAGCAAAAAAAAAAACGGCTATGGGGAAAATATGCCAAGTATAAGAAGAAATGGTGTCGTCGCTTTGATTACCACGTTTATGGCATCCGCCCAGGTGAGAATTGGAGCTTATTTTCAGCCTGTATATTTCCTGCGTGGGAGCCCATCTTTAACACCTGCACCGACTGCGCGCCGCGCAAGAATCCCTACTTCCTCAATACCACACCACTGCGAGACATGTTTGCTGAGTCTCCGTTCACGTACGAGATGCCAAAGGATGATAATGTGCCACTCGTAAAGGAACGCCCAGAGTTCAAGTATTTGTACCGCGGCCCAGAAAAGGCAGAGCTAGTGGATGGAAAACGTTAGATGCTTCTTGTTTGAAGCTTGCTGGGAGAGAGGGGGTGGAGTGGGTTGGGGATGATGGGAAAGAACGGGGACGTTTTATTTGTTTAACGTATTATAGGGGTGAGGGTGCGGGGGAGTGTTGGGGTTGGCTGTACGAATCAACGAAGTTATTCGCACTTGGGTGCAGGTGAGTAGTTTTTTTTTCTTTTTGGCTTGTCGTGTATGTGTGTATGGGACAGTGGAATAGAAGGAAAACATTATTTATGACGCCTATTGTCGTTGTACGAGTAACGCGACTGAAAGTAGTGTGCGCTGCACAATATTGCGATGTGTGTAGGTGCTGAAGTAGGGGAAAACAGATGCGTGCAGGAGCGGGAGTGAGCTTGAGAGGAGTACTAGTTGGAGAGAAGAACAGCGGGGAGAGGGAGGGAGGAGACGTTTGCAGTGGATGGTGACGTGTCATCGCGGGGAAAGTTGTGAAGAGAGGAACAACAACTGGCACTTGCGTTAGATCCCACCTTCTTGGGCATCCTGCGACGTAGCAGGCATCCGCCATGCACGACTGCGAGACCATTTTATTCCCTCCTGAGTGCTGCTAGCCGATCCCTTTTCCCTTTCCAACCGTTCTCGTCTCTCTTGACGGTTTCCCATGGTGAAATGCAACACCACGCAAATATGTAGGCCTACCCTTCACGACAAGTTGTGTCGTCTGCACTACACATGGAAAGTCCACAGAAAGACACACCACGAAGCTTGAAGGCAGTGTGTGAGGCCATCTTTACGATCAGCGTAAGTGAGGGAGCGGAAAAATTGCCCCATAAAAACAGGGCGGAGAAGGAAAGTACGGAAGTAAAGCGAGGTTTAGAATTGCTCTTTAGCCCTGGCAATTCGGTGTTGCATGGGGTGCCTGCCGTAAAAGGGTTGCGAGAAGCTGTGCGACTGTTCGTGAGGAAGCATGCACAATTGTTAAACGCAACAACGGGCAACGCCGTGGCAGGGGCCACGAATGCTCCGCTTGCCCTGCGGGATGCCATTCTACGCAGCAATGAAGCCATGGCGGAGATTCGTGAGGAGTGGAAGCAAATACTGGAGCGTATGTACACTGTTGCGGAGGAGCAGGATAGTGTCACACCGCCTGGAAACACATTGGCGGCCGATGCCACCCCACTGTGTAATGTTTTACGCATTGAAACAAGCCATGACGAATCTTGGGAAGAGTTACCGTGGGAAGGGAAACTTTCATGCGACGACGCCCGTGCGTTACTCGACGCGTGTATGCGGGAATGGGTGGAGCAGGGTCGTCCCTTAAACAACGAAAAGGTAGAGGCTTTTGTCCGGGCACTACGCGCGGTCGTGGAGACGGACCCGGAGTCCACCATCTTTGACGTCAGCTGGGACTTCTGGATGAGTTCACTGCTTCTGTGTGTGGAGCTGCAGGGAACATCGTGCGAGACTATCACGCTTGTAGAGCTGATTTATAGTCGATGCACCTCCAGACGAAAACTTGCGCTCTTGGACGCCATTGCCGCGAAACTCCGGCGACCAGTCAAGGGCTTCTCAGCTCATCAGTGTATTTTGTTGAAGTTGTTTCACCGACTTCTTCTTTGCACCTCGGAAAACATTGTCACCTTTATGGACGAAGAAATTGCCCAGTTGCTTCTGCAAGGGTTGCACGTTGTCGTTGAACACCTTGAGAGCTTTAGCGCGATGGATTCACAAGCACGGTGGCTGAAACAGCTTTTGGTGCGTTCCTCTCTCGTCCGTGACATCACCCTGTTGCTAGGAAGAGAGCCCGGCCTCATCCGCAAACTGGCAGTCGCCATGCCCGAGCCACACGCTGTTGGGCTGATGTTGACAATGCTGCCGCTGTGGGTTCGAGAGCCCGGCGACGCATGTACGTTTACACTTATCTTTGAGAAACTGGTGGATGCCTTGTTGAGCAATCACGTGCGAGGCGACCTCGTTGAGGATGCCCTGGTGTGCGTTGATCGCTGCGTGCGCGGGCTGGGCGTTGAAAAGCGTCACGAGCAGTTTGGCAAGGTTTCTTGTTTCCTGATCTCTCTGGAGTACAGTGAAGTACAGGACTCATTAGGGAGACTTCTGCGTCTCCTGCTTTGCTTTGCAGTGCCTTCCACGTATGGGTCTGACTGCAGATATCGACTGCCGCCAACGCATTTGCGGTGCCTTGAGGATAAACTCCTCAGGCAGTCGGAGCACTGGACGAAAAGGACTGCCGCACATCATACTGTGGTAGGGTATTTCTGGTGGGGAGTGCTGCGTTGGCACGCGGCGGAGTTACCCAAAGTAGTTGCGCGTGCTGTGCGTGCCGTGTGCCGGTACGAAAAGCGCGTGGGATCGCCGTGGGACGAGGGACATCTTGTTGCCATCAGTTACTCCGTCCCGTCCTGGCGCAGTCTTGAAAAGGTCTTGGAGGATGAACGGCGTTCAGGTCACCTCAACTACAGGAATCTGCTGCTGCACATCTGCGCAGGTGCCCCCAGAATCACTTCGGGACCACAGCAGCCACCGCAGCCGCCAGTGAGTTTGTGTCCCACGACGTTGTGGTTGTTGATGCGCTGGTGCACAAATGCCTGCGCGCGTCGTGGGTTGTTTCTTGCCACGACGGAAGTGCTCCGGTCTTTTGCGTCAGACAGGGACATCGCGGGCGGCAACCTTCTTGCAATCCCTGTGGAGGAGTTTGATGCTCTGCTTCACACGCCTCATGTTATTTCCGCACAGGAATTGGGTCGAAGACGTATGCTGGCGGCAATGCTTTCCGTTCGGTTATGGATCGCTACGCTGCCCCCATTGTGTCCTACACCAGGTGTGACTGAGTTGGATATTACGGGCATGGTGGCTCGGCAGCTCCAAACCTACTGGGTAGATTACAATGGCGAGGTGCCAATGCCGAATGAACCATTTGGGGAAGACTCCCTGCTACTTTTGTTGTGTGTTCTTTGCCTCAATAGGTTGGCGGGGGCAGCCAAAGCCGGCGATTGCAGTCACGAGCATGTCTTGCAGGAAACGCTAAAAAAACTTCTAGAGGAGAGACGCGGACATGACCCAGTCTGGCAGCTCTTGTATTTCTTGGAAACTGGCATTGTCTTGGACCACCTAGCTGCCGTTCTTGTGCATCGATTTGGAGTGGCGCATGAGGTTCCGGTACATACGGGTGCTGAAAAATACGTGACATCCGACTTGCCGTTCGTTGGAGCAAATGAGTTGTACGCCCTGAAAGAATTGCTTGCCCTAAGAGAAGAAGATCCAGAAAAGGAAAAACGTCTACTTTCTGTTCTTCAACTGCTGCTTCAGATGCATGGTGGAGACGTGTCGCGTGCGGCGGTGGCCGTGAAGGCACATTCCTTGCCGCAGTGGGAAGCGTACGGGCGTTGCGCAGAGCTGGCGGTTGGTGTGGTGGAGCACCTGCTTACGTCCTTCCCGCATCTGGAGGAGCGGATGCACTGTGAGGGTGTGGATGTCTACTACCTCTGCCTACTGTGTATCCAGCGATGGTTGCGGGATCCATTGAAATTGCCTGAGCTTGCTCGTGCCTCTATCGATAAGTTTATGCGTCTTGGACAGACAGCGTGGGAGGGTCTTGTGTCCGACTGCCTTGGCAGGCACATCGAGACACTTTGGGATGCGTTCTTCGAGGTTGATGGATTGTCAAGCCTGTGTGCGGAGTCAGTGATACTGCCAGTGAGCCTTTTTTGGGCCTCGTGTCTGGCGGCAAGTTTTAGCCTGAACAAAGACGTGTGATTCCGTGGGTGCAGACATGTGCAACTATATATACATATATGTATACAGCCACGCGTAACTCTGCTGAAGGCTCTGCAGCTGGTGAGGTTTCCACAGAGAAAGAGAGGAAATAGTGTTCATATATATATATATATATATGCTGATTTATTTTGTGTTTTGTGTGTTTGGGGTGGGGAGGCGGGTTTTGTGTTTTGCATTTGATAATTTATTCACACACGCGAGCGGTCTGCGTGTGTGGGTGTTTCTAATGAATGGAGTTCCATGTAAAGTGCGTTTTTTTTTTCCGCCGTTGTTTAATTTGTTGGTTCTTTATGCTGGCTCTGTATAATAGATTTGGCTTCTAGTTTCAAAACAGGAGGAATAATAGGAGGGATGAGCAGTGGGGGTGGAGCGGAGACGTACAACCCGCAGCTCTGGCGACGTTCTCCGGAGATGCAGTCTGTCAGAGAACTCTCAGCTTCAGGGATTGGAGATGACGTGGGGACGGGAGAAGACTCGAAGGAACGGGTAGTACGTCTTGTGGTAAGATCGCTGTCGGTGGTGGATTGGGTGCGTAGCCAGTGGCTACTTGGACTCTTCATGCTGAGCATTGGCGTGGCATATTACCACCCTCTCTCGGCAGACATGGCCACCAGTGAGTGGACGCGTGTCCTCGTCTTTATTTCCTTTGCGCTGACTGGTGCATCCTTCCCTGACATTGACAGGGGTGCCACGCTGCGATTTATGGGTCCCACCATTACCATGTGTGTCATGAGCTTTATTATTTCCCCCATTATGGGAGTGGGGGTGTACATGACGCTTCGTAGTAGAAGTGAGGCAAACTACCTATTTGTGGGTTTAATGTGCACGTTTTGTTTGCCTCCGTCGGTGATTCTTTCCGTGGCGGCCGTACGTTCATCGCAAGGGAATGAGGCCCTTTCACAGTACCTCGGTGCGGTTGGTAGTATCTGTGGCGTTATCGTATCCCCGTTACTAATGCTGGAATGCATGTCATTGTCGCATGCGACCAAGTTTCCAAGCACGACGGAAATGATGCTGTTTCACGCAACGGTTATTGGCCCCTTCTTTTGTGGCGTTATCGCACAAAGGGTGTTTGGCTGGGTGTCACACCGACGCATAGCCGGGGAGGATCGTGAGGTTTCACGCCTTAATAAAGCAGAGTTAACATATTCTGATTTGTGCAATAGCGGTCTTGCGTACTGGCGCCAGCGTACGATTCAACTGAATAGTCTTATATTACTATTGGTCAACTACTGCATGTTTAGCTCCTTCTTTGTTCAATCCGTCGCCCCGAGTTTATTGACGTGGCGAGGTGCCGGACTGATATTTTTTGTGGAGTTGACGTTATACATAGTGACGTGTTTGGTGGACTGGCTGCTGGCTTCGCTGATCGTGTCTACACCAGAGGAGCGAATTGCGTTGTTTTTTGCGCTCATCACAAAGTCTGAAGTTTTCGTCGTCCCCATTATCCTTCATCTATTCCAGGAGAATCGCCAGGCGGCCGTGATACTGCTACCTTCGTTGATTTACCACCTTATCCAGGCGTTTGTAACAGGGGTGCTGAGCTTCCCGCTGCGTCGGTGGCGGTCCCAGTACAACTGCCGCCCTGGGACGACGTTGCTCCCACTGCGCCTCAGCCGCGCGAACCGCGCCGCTTTAACAAAGATGTAGTGTTGCTCCTGATGCCGATAGATTCATATACATTTTTGTTTATATATATATATATAATATTGGGAGAGCGACGCCAGGATATATGAATGGATATGTTTGGCTGTATTTGAACATGATGTATGAAGTGTTTTTGTTTTGATTTTTTTTTGTTAGGCTTTGTTTGTCGAGGGGGATTTATTTCTCTCACTAATATAAGTGGATGGGTGCTGCTGCCGCTGGTGGTATGGATTGGCGTCAGCGGGGCGGGCAGCAAGGATAACGGCGGGACATCAGAGGGTGGGGGAAGTTCACGCAAGTGGGGATGATAGACACAAGGCCGATTTGTGCCTCCGGCGTGTTCTGTCTTGCTGCCTGTGTGCTGCTGTTACTGACGGCAGTGGCTGCTGTCCACGCGGTGTAACATAAAAATACACCCCAGCATTACGTGTGCGTGCACACGAGCTGGCGGTTCACTCCAATGCACTTGCTTGGACGCATGTGAAGTGCAGGGATTCCGGATGTAATATGAACGTCGTTTCCGACTTCATGCCCGCTGCTTGTGAGAACATTTGTTTCTCACACCATGTTTCTACTAGATGGAGCTTGCAGCAAGGCCGGACAAGTCGTTACTACCTACCTTGGGTGCACAGCCACGTGCACCGACGGGGATTTTTTGATACCTAAGGAAGTTCAGGACACTACGCAGGTTGGCTAAGAGGGCATACATACTTTTGTAGTGGGCGTTTTTTGTGGATCCCCTCACTAACGGTGGATGCAAGCTCCTGCCTCTCCCTAAGAGACCCTGCCGTCCAGGTTGGAGAGGAGGACTATGTTGCGTTTGTTACGAGCAATCAAATGAAGTAAGTAAGAGGTGTCGCCGTGTGGGCCCGCTGATGCAGAAAGGCGCCCACAGGTCGGTCTGTAGGGGGGTACATCAATTTCATGCCGGTTGCTCTCAAGAAATACGTCACGGAAGCTGAAGCACACATAGCGATGGACGAAATCACGCACGCCCTGAGCTTCTTGCAACTTGTCGTCTGGCCCCTCATGCAAGCCGTCGGTGTAGACAAGGTTGTGCCAGGCTCCACGCGTGTATACCGGCCCAGGCTTGGAAAGGGCGTGACGCGCGGGTCGCATAACCCAAAAGGGTCTAAGTGGTGCGGCGGCATTTTAACTCCCCCACGCCTGAGACGGGGTGGAGATTGGGGATGGAGACGGGCCCAGAACGGCAGGCTCGCACCGAAAAAAAAATATATTCTTTACGAAGAGGTTATGCTCGGAAGCATCACCACGGCAAAGCGCCTCTAATCATTCCTCACACCTGCCTTTCTGGAGGAATTTGGGTACTAATCCATCAACTACAATGTGACGGAGGAGAGTTTTCGCTGGGGAATAAACCGCTCCTGTTGGTTTATCTACGATAAATGCAACGATCGAGGCAAGAATTTGGATAAATCCTGCTTTCGCAGGAACAGTGCAACGAAGTCTTTTTTTTTATTTGAGCGCACGACCGCTTAAGTGCGGGAAGGCGTGACGTGACGGAGTACGGTGTGGACTTCCCCAAAAAATTACCAGTACTTCAGTAACCCGAGACGGGGTGGGAGCTTGCCGGAGATGGACCATTGTCCAAGCATCTCCGTCTACTTCAACATGAACTGCGCTAACGAGAACAACGAAGGGCCGGGCATTTTTTTTTTAAGGAGATGAAATGAGTCTACACAGCTGTTGATTTAAATCCAACCTCAATACGAGTGTGCTTTTAAACATTGGCAACAGTGCCAGCTGCCTGCCGATGATGTGCACAAGCGTTGGACAGATCCTGATGCGTGCCTAAGGACAAACAGTGCAGCGTCCTGTGGATGACACTGCGGGGGAAGCAAGCACCTCTCATTTGCGAGGAACGCACAACAAAATAGTCTGTCCTTCAGCGATCCTGATATGTGGGGAGACGGAATCAAACGTGTCCTCTTAGTTCCTTGCACCAATAGTATGATGCGGGAGCCGACTCTGGCAGATATAAGCTACAGTCTTCTAAACAGGACTCAAACGATCACGGCATCTTGTGAAGAACACGTGAATTGTGCGAAGGCTATTGATCTTTTGTTTCACGCATGTCGTCTCCCGCCTCAACGGATTCGAGACTAGTTCGGTAGAAACTGTGAAAAGGCGATGCGCATCTAGCTTGACTGCAACCCGTGCGTGCATCAGTGCAAGAATACAAGGTTAATGGCTGAATCATGCTTTAACGACTGGATGGGGCCCCATAAATTATGCGCTACGGTCTCCGCTGCTTCCGCGACAGCGACATTGCTTGTCATCAACGTTACCTTTGCGGCGCTGACGGTGACTGCTTTTTTAATAAGCATGGGGTGTTGAGGTTGCTTACCAAGTCCACTTACCAGACTGGGACTGTTTAAAAGATTTGTATGCATGTATGTATATAAGGAGTAATATAGAGCTATGTGTGTTAGTTTGTGTGTGTGTATGTGTATGTGCAATTTATGGGAGGAACGTGTGAATGCTTTACCATACCAGTTACGGTTCCACCTTCTTACAAGACGGCAGTACGACGTGTATATATATAATAGTGGCCTACCTGCATACCAAATACATATATATATATATATAACCTCAGATATGGCGCAAAACATGTACATTATTCCATTTTTTATTTTTATTTTTGCTTCTGTACAACTTACTTCTTATTTCAGAACCTAATGAACAAAAACCATACCAGATGTAGCTAAACGACGGCTAGCAATTCTTGGTGAGTTTCCTGTTTTCTCTGTCAATTTTGCGATTGCTCTTTGCCCAGACGAGCAAAAAAAAACACACACAATCGTTAAAAGGCATATAGTATTCTTTTTTTTTGTTGTATTATTATATTTCCAGCCGACCCTTTTTTTTCACCCCCCTCCCTATGCGAAGGTGGATGGTGGTTGCGGAGCCTCCAGCGACTTTCTTTTTGCGAGCTCCCAACAGCGCCATGTATCATATAAAATGTCTTTGCAAATTTATTTATTTTTTGACGTGTGTTTGTTTGTTTGTTTGTGGGCAGGTGCGCATGGCGCATTGGGCCAGTGAGCCGAAAACCTCCCTTGTTTTTTTCCCTCTCTGTGTGGGGAGAGGGCGTCATCCTGGTGCATCTTCACCATTTTAGTTTGCGGTGCGTGCTGCTGGAAAGATGCATTCGTGGAGAGAAGCGGCCCGTTTGAGTTTTTGCAGGTTTTGCGTTTTCTTAATTTTTTATTTTCAACGGTTTCGTAGCTGTTGTAGCTTCTTAGTGACGCCTGCAGTTGCTCCGTAACGGTGGCCGCCCCCCACGCCTCTCTCC